ACAATTATTTTGGCATACGAATCGTGTTTTCGGCTATTCATTAATTCGCAAATGTCATCACATTGTGCTGGTGTACAATGCACAAAAAATGCAACAAGAGACGAAGGAATCCGGTGAGTACATTATGATTTGAAAGTAAGTACCTACTATAGTCACTGTCACTCACATATATTTTTCATTAAGAAATTTGGTAATTTCTCTGATTTCTCATCGGAATTCCTTCTGCAATAGGAGCTGATAGAAATACTCGTGAAATTTCTAAAAGAATGCAAGGATATTGGATTCATGCAATCAAACGGGAGGGCTGATGGTCTGACATGTTGACGAAAAAAAAAAAAAAGAAATTTCCAATCTATCAGCAGTATTAGCTTCTATTGCAGAGGTGGCAAAAGGAATTTTAATAAGAAATGACAAAATGTTATAATGAAAACTATGTGACATTACTATTAACCTGAAATAGTATATTGTGCAACAAGTGGGAAAAGTTCAACTTTTCTCACGAGTGTGGAAGTTTGTGGCACGAGCCTGAAAGGCGAGTGCCGCAAACACACGAGTGAGGAAAGTACTTTTCCCCACATGTTGCACACTATACTTTTTCTACGACTGCACATATTCAAAGAACAATGTAACTCAATTTTTATTTTTTATGGGTTATAGCAGAACTAAAATAACATAACATAATAACAAGTTTCCTACCTCTTAACAGTTGAATTATTCATTTGAAATTATAGTTAATTGTGAAATTCTTACAATTTTGTATGGTCAAACCAGGAAAGTCATTGTTTTTGAGTAAATTTTCTGTTATATTAATTGTAGAAGTAGAAGTTGAAGGTTGATTATTTATGTACAGTGGTGCATTTTCTGTCTCCATTTCAGTGAATAGTTCTACTGGTTTTTCAATAGAGTCGACGATTTTATTTGCAACGTCCATTTTATTTTTAATAGAGTCTCCGACGTATCCTTCTGCCACGGTACTGGATTGCCATCCTCCATGGCGCTTTAAGGTTAATATGTCACCTCCTGCATTTACTAAAATTGTTGCCGAAGAACGTCTGAAGCAGTGTCCTGTATATAAATGGGGATTTTCCATTTTTAAAAAAATTGCAATTCTCTTTGCCATACTACCAAATTTGTTGATGCCGACTACTTGTCTAGTACATTTTCCGTTCTGGTAATTCAAGAAGAAACGTTTTTCTGCCAAATCATTCGGTCGAAGAGCGGCATATTTTTTATATTTATTATAAAATTCCCCCGTTACAGTGAAAGTTCTTGGCTTCTTTGTTTTGGTGTTATCTAATTTCACCAACAAAGCCGAATTTAGATCCTCTAAATCATCGACTTTTGATTTCCACAGTTCATCTCTACGACATGCCCCTGCTACGCCAATAGCCACTGCAACCTACAAATAAAAATATCAGGATGTAAAATCATTTATATAATTAAAAAAATATATCATCCCTGGCCGGGTATTGAACCCCGGGCCGCTAGTATCCTAAGCGGAAGCACTACCACTACACCACGGAGTAGTTATTAAAATAATAATTCATAGGCATATACTCATCTTCCACAATATGAAATTGACTTTTTGAAGATTATCTAATTATTTTTACCTACTGAATACACCCACTAACTATAAAAAGCTGTTAATTCGAGGAAAAAAGCGGAAGAAATTCGAAAAATAGTTCAATTTAAATAATAAACCCACCTTTATTAGTAGATATTCCTTGTTTGGAGCTTCTTTTAAAAATCTCTGCAATTGGTCGGCTGTTAATATGTTTGATTTCTTTGGGAAGTAATTGTCAGACTTTCTTTTCAAAAATGCACGTAATTTTTTATACGTGGATATATCAATGTTATGTTTAATACTGATGGTACTTTTCAACATCGAATATTGTGACCAAAGTGTTGACGCCTTCAAAGTTTTCGACATTTCTTCGAAGTATACCAAAAGTACACTTTCCGAAAACGATTTTATTTTCGTATTTCTTCTCCATTCCATGAATTTCCCATATGCCAATTCATACTTCTTTCGGGAAATTTCCGGCAACAAATCTAATGTTACTTTTGCCGCTTGTTCCAATATTTCTGGTGGAGTATTGTCAAAATCGTCACTGCTTTCATAAGTTTCCATATTATTTACCTATCACTGGTACAAATATGTACACTGAGAGAAACTGGATATTAAAAATATCTACCAGCTCTGATTGTAATAACCTTTATAAGGAAATCTCCTATTCCTGATCATTTTATTATTACAACAGTATTCTCTCCATTCTGTAATTATAAAAATCGATTTCTTAAATCATTTGTAATACCCTTGAATGGACATTTGCTACCATCATAACGCAGGTGTGTTATGACATTATGAGAATTTTATAAATTCCAGTCTATTCAGATTTTTTATTGACATAGCTCGTTTTGTGAATTATGCTCATTGGCGAATTCAGATAATGTTTGTCCCAATAATCATAGCTGTTTGGGTTTCTAGCATTGTACGTTGACGAATAACTCTAGCAATTCACATGTATGACGGTTATAAGGAAATCATTCGACAATCGTAATTCGGCTCAGTTCGCTCTAGTGTTTCATTAGTATTGTGGCTGACAAAGATACAGATCGCGTTCATTTTTCTGTTCTCGGTCATGGGTGCCCGTGTTCAATTATTGTTCAATGGTTTCGATCGTCCGAATCGAAAGAGCCGTGTCTTGTTGGTGAATGTCTGTGATGTAGCAAAGTTTTGTTTCAGTGCTGGCTGTGAACCGATCTGTGGAATACACCGTGCATTGCATTATTGCAATGAAAAAAGTATTCTCAATACCCACTTTTCAAGGCCTAAAATTGGTTTATTTCGAAAACAAAATGATCGATGAGATTCTGAATCAAAATATCTGGGTTTCTGTGAGGGAAGTTTTATTGACAATTCTCATCATAACTCCGAAGGAAGGGTAAATATAAGTATTCAACTTCTCATTTCTTAATAAATACGTCAGTAATGCATATAGATGATATTTCTCCGAACAAAACAATGAGTAATGTCAAAAAACTTCCACAGATACCCCAATATTTCAATTCAGAGACTTAACGTATTTTTTTGTTTTTTTGAAAACAATAACTTTGGATCATGAAAAGTGATAGTGTGGATAGGATATTTATTTTCATTGCAGTAATTCAAAGCACGGTTTCATAATGCATACCATCGAATAATGTTGATAACCTTATTACCACTGTTTAATGAATATACTAGAGTAGAAAAATATTGGGATAACTGTTGAAAATGAGCTACATTACAATAGCATGTCGAAATGTCAGGTTTCATGCAGATATCAGATAACTATAATAAAATGAGACGAATTACTGCGTTACCTCAAGATGGTTGTGCCAGTAATAAAAACATGCTGTTTTATGTCGATAGTCTAATAACCACTGTAGAGTGGAGAGTTACTGCAACATTTTATGGAAATAATTCCTATTCGACATTTTGTGTTATCATAGAAACTAGAACAAGTAGTAGTTATCCAGCAGCGGTGTTTTTATACAAGTTTGCAAATTGAATAAGCTGCCATAACTACAAGTCACCTGAAAATTCACTTCATCTATGGTAGCACATGAACACATCTGTCCCCTATTCATTGCAGATATCGTAATGACGGTTATCAGATTTCCAATTATGATAACTCAAGTTTTCTCTCAGTGTATATTATGTCTTACTAATATTCAATGAAATTGCGATTTTTTATCGAAACACGATTGATAACTACCTCAAAAATTGAAATAAATTCTGTTGACAGTTGTTCGTGACAACAGCGGCCAACTAAGTTTTTGTCGATTTTAGTTGATTCTCCATATAAAAGGTACCTACTATGCGTGGTGTTGGCAAAGTGCTGTGAGAAATAATATTTCTCACAGGTATGAGCAATTCGTGGTTTTGAAATTGAGTAAGCCATGAGAATTACGCTACTTTTCATAGCAGTCGTAGAAAAAATCATATTCCTTCGTCTCTTGCTTCATTTTTTGTGTATTGTACAACAGCACATTGAGAAGGCATGCTTGAATTGATGAATAGCGCAAGAAACAGGAATCGTATGCCAACATATTGCGAAAAACTATTTCCATCCCCAAATTCTTCCAAAAACAAATGAAAAAAAATCAGGTTGTGTTTCAATGTTTCACAGAAAAGTGAGGTTGTGTTTCTATATTTCACCTCCAGGGTCGGTCATCAAGCACGCGACCTATGGGTAACCGGTTGGCCGGTTATAAATTCCGTGCTCGTTGATGCGTGCGACTCGAAAGAGAGAGATAACAGTATAGTGAGGATTTTTCATGGAAAAATAGTTTTCTCAGAGTGAAGGGAAAATGGTGTCTCAAGTATCATTTCTCTGTCGAATTTTCCATTTTTGTTAGCATTATTATGTGTATCTGGTGAGCACAGTAAGTGAAAGTTCTATGTGAACTGAGGTGATCACCAAAGTATAGGCCACAATACTGTGATACATAATATTTGCTGTCGATAGGGGGACACCCACCTACTTAAAACATATTGAAAGGGAGCCAAAAAAGTATACATTGAACTCTCTACCACTTTCATCCACACCAACCTCACTCACCCCACCGCTCACTGAGCCAATCATCATAGTTTTCTATTCCTTTGGAATGAATGAGGCACTTCAAACTTTTATATCCGAAACTTTCTAGCCTTTGAAAACATAGTAATGTATTAGTTCTATTTCTCTGAAACGAATGAAGATATCAAAATTTGAGGTTTCTATAAAAGTGCACCCGTGACAGGTACATGGGTTCTCTGATAACTCTCATCATGACATAAGTAATTCTCATCTTCGATATTGGTTCACTGTATTTGATTTCAAATAATTTCCCACTTCCAAATAATTATTCGAATGATATTCATTTCAATGAAAATATGAATAGGAAATAATATGGACTTTTCAATCAATCTTGAAACTTATTACCTCAGGATCTTGTTCAATAAAACAATAACAATTCAGTGAAGTACTATATTATATATTCATAATCATAAGCTTCCTCACAAGGACAGTTAAGGTGTTATTATTGCCTGACTTCATATCCTACATGGAAGATGATGTTATATCTTCATAATTATGAGCTTTCTCATTAGGTCGGTAGAGGTGTTTTTTTCTGCATGACTCCATATCCTACACAATGATTGGATAAACTGGTTCATCGGCAATACCGCACATGCTCTTTGCATTCCTTTTCACCTTCATGTATCCATCTTCACCCCAACCTGAACCCCATGAGTTCTTGACGATCCAGTAGTCAGTATTAGAGAACAATACTTTCTCGGTTCCATAGCCGACTACGAGTACTCCGTGGTTGAGGTCGTGGGAACAAAGAATAGAGGAGAAGATACCACCGAGATATAACTGAATTGTGTCACCGTCAATTCCTACTGATACTGGTCCTTTGTTTGCTAAAAAAGGAATAATGAAATCCTTATATTGAAATAATGGCAGATTGACGATATAGTATTTTCAAAATTTCGATATATGTCTCTCACTACTGGAAATGAAATGGACAAAATCAATCGACGGTTTGTGAAATCTTGTTCGAAAGATGATAGAAGAAGATTTCAGAAGTGTCTTCCATGTTCTGTTTAATCAACTGCATAGGAAGCAATATTTTTCTCTCCGTGTACACTGAGAATACAATGAGATCAATTTTTACTCGAGAATAGCCAACCAATACCCAAAAGGAGAATTGAGAACTTGCCCAACTATGAGCCTATTACTCTGCTATCAGTTATCCCCGAAGTGATGGAGAATATCATCAACATTGAGCTTGTCAAATATCTGAAGAGCTCAGGGATTATGAATGATAGGCAATATAGCTTTCGCCATCGAAGATGAACCGGATACTTGCCTACGTTATCCATATATGGTAAGCCTCATTAGAAATACATAGGGAATCACTACCTGTGCCGTTCGATATATCGAGAGCATTGCACCATGTTTAGCACCAGATTAAACACTGAACATAACATTAAAAGGTCCAATCGAGCGGGATCTACAGTGAACGATCAAGCAGAAGCTTGCATAAACGTCCAATTCCTGCGCTGAATTTGAATGAAAACTAAATCTCATCAACTTGGAACGTCGACTTCAGGTGGAAAGGCTTGTTCCCAAATATCGGGACTCCCCTCCGTAGTGGCGTGAGCATATCAAGAGGCATAAAAGTGAGAGGTTCCATTCATTTAATCATCATTCAACCTCTGTTCTGTTTCTGTCTTCTGTTTCTTCATATTGTATTCACTGAGTAACTTTTCAACCTACTCCTAGTTGAAAAAATGGATTTGATAAAACTGAACAAAAAATGAGGCCAAATCAAGGCTAGGCTTACGCTTTTCAAAAAATATGTTTACAGCATAGTGCGAATTGCTTCTGATCCTGATATCGAACTTGATAGAGCTACAATCATTGAACTAGAAATGAGGGTTGAATAAGAAAGCATATTATTACCTGAATTCGAAAATGTACAGGGTGATATTGAACTCGAGGTTGAAGATTTAGAGGAACAACTTCCAGAGCAGGAGAAATTTCAATCAATATATTTCAAAACTATATCGATCGCAAGAGACATTATCATGAATAAAGAACATATCCTGAATCCCGTTCTGAATCATGCGATTCCTGCCCAAATTAATCCAACATTATCACAGCCCAGAGTCATGCCTAATATACAATTACCCAAAATAAAACTGCCCATTTTCAGAGGCACCTATGACTCTTGGCTGGAATTCCGCGACACTTTTATGTCACTTGTTCACAAAAGACCTGACCTAGATAATATTGAAAAATTTCATTATATTAGAACTCATCTTGAGGGTGAGGCTAAGCAAGTGATTCATTCAATCGAATTTTCTTCGGAAAATTATGAAATGGCTTGGGAATTTTTATGAGAAAGATATGACAATAAACTCTCATTAGTGCACAATCATTTCAAATATTTGTTCAATACGTCCAATTTAGGTAGCGAATCCTCAACAGATCTTCGTAAAATGTCAGATAACGTATCAAAGCATATTAGAGCTTTGAAACAATCGAATTTGCCTACTGATCATTGGGATACATTGATGATATATTTCTTAACTTTGAAGTTAGATAAAAAAACTGAACGTGAATGGGAATCTTTCAAGTTAGGTAGCTGGAGAATTGCCTACATTAGATGAATTCAAATCCTTTACCAGAGGAAAGGCAGATTTGTTAGAAAAACTAGAATTGAATCATGGGGACTCTCGTAGTGAATTAAAGCACAATCAGAAACAAACTGTCTGCGGAGAAATCATGAAATCTCAGACTGCCGGTCATCAAATTGTAAGAAATGTGATGGAAAACATCACACGATATTACACGCGGATAAACCCACTTCAAATCGAGAAGATTCTAGAGAGTATCCAAAACCATCGCATTCAGCATCTAATCAATCCCAAAACTCTGTTTCAAATGTATTAGTAGCTAGTTCTGATTCCGGCGTAAGAGAGTTTGAAAGTGAGGTGCTTTTATCCACTGCCATTATACAATTATACATATTCTGGATTCATATAGCAGACCTCATTTTTGTCGTATCCTACTTGACTCTGGGAGTCAATCCAATTTAATCACTGAGGAATTTTGTAATAAGCTCAATATTTCTAAAAATAGTATGAACATTTCAATTGTTGGTATCAATGAAGCCGTATCAAATATTAACGAAAAATGCAATGTTTTAATACAATCGCTAAATACTGATTATGAAAAGTCTATTTCATGTCTGGTCATCCCAAAAATATGCGGGAAGATGCCGTATAGACTTGTGAATTTTTTATTCTTTTTTGCGTGAAGGGTATATGAATCTTGGAAATGGTTATCCATCACTACAAAATAGGATTTTTGGTTGGCTCATTGCGGGTACTACATCTATATCTGATCGAAAAACTGTACATTGCAATCTCAGCATGAATTTGGATATACAAAATCAACTAGCTCGTTTTTGGGAACTTGAAGAACCCTATCATGAAGCAAAGAGTCTTTCTCAGGAAGAGCATTTCTGCGAAAACCTTTTCAATGAAACAACCAAGAGAAATGAGGAAGGGCGATTTATTGTTGACTTTTCACTAAAGAATGATCCTTCTGCTCTTGGAGGCTCAAAAACAATAGCATTAAAAAGGTTTTATTCTCTTGGAAATAAACTTCAGAAGAATACTCTTTTACGAAAAATGTACATAAATTTCTCACAGGAATACTAGCAGCTTGGCCATATGTCAAAAATAAGTGCTTTCAACGAGGTATCAAACTTTCTTCCCCATAATGGGGTTTTAAACTAAAACAGTGAAACTACTAAACTAAGACTAGTTTTTGATGGCTCAGCACCCCCAAACTCAGGTGTATCCCTGAATCATATTCTGTGTGGGGTCCACAATACAGGATGATTTGAAATCAATAATTCTAAGATTTCGCAGTCACAAATATGTTGTCTGTGCTGATATAGAAAGAATGTACCGAATGGTATATATGAACCCTTCAACGAATTTTGTGGAGGGAAAATCCTACAGATGAACTTCAGGTTTTCGACCTTAATACCGTTACATACAGGCTAGCTTCATCCAGTTTTCTCTCAATTCGTTGTCTCAAGCAACTTTAAATCGAGAATAAAAAGGACTTCCCAGTAGCTGCTAACGCAATAGCTGAAGATTTCCTCTCAGGAGGAGAATTTGTTGAATCTGTTATAACTCTTTGTTCTCAGGTATCCACCATTCTGAAATCAGCATGTTTCAGTCTCAGAAAATGGTCTTCTAATAGTGGTGAAGTACTCGAAAAACTTTCACCAGAGGTCTGTGAAGGTATCAGACAATTTTTGTCCCGAGAACATACAAAAACTCTGGGCCTTTGTTGGTCCCCAACATCAGATTCCTTTAAGTATGATCTCAATAAACCTTCGAGCCCTAGGACACCAAACGAACTGTTTTATCAATAATTTCCCAAATATTCGACCCTTTAGGTCTTTTGAGCCGATGTGTCGTTATAACGAAAATATTTTTGCAAAAATTGTGGTCTCTGAAGATTGGCTGGGATGATGATTCACCTGGAGATCTCAGAGCCTGGTGGCAAAAATATCATCAATTACTTCCAAATCTGAACGAAATACAAATAAAAAGAAAAATCCTGATAAATTCACCAAAGCATATTGAGTTACATGGTTTCACCGATGCATCCCAAGATGCCTACGGTGCCTGCATATATGTACGAAGTGTGAATGAATTTGGTCGTATTCAAGTATCTCTGTCAATTGCAAATTCAAAGGTAGCACCTTTGAAGGCACTAACAGTTCCAAAGCTTCAACTATGTGCAGCTTTGGTCCTATCAGAATTAGTGGACAAAGTACAGAAATCAATGACGATACATTTTGATGACACATACCTATGGTGCGATACTCAGTGGTCCTCTGCTGGCTAAAAGCATCATCGACACTCCTTTCAACATTTGTTTCCAATCGAGTGAATCAAATACAATCTCTCACTGAACAAAAATGTTGGTATTATGTAAATACAAAAGAAAATCCAGCTGATCTCTTGACCAGAGGGATAAATCCTGATAACTTGTGTAATTGTACTCTCTGGTGGCAAGGCCCACATTGGTTGGCTGAACCATCTTCGAAATGGCCCCTTCAGAAATTATCAATGCTGAAAAAATATCGTGCGCTAAACCCATTTCAGCTACACTACTTTCTTCAACAGAAGTAATTATATTTCCTTCTGAACGATTTTCTAACCTCAACAGGTTACAACGGGCCCTTGCTTACTGTTTCAGATTTGTCTCTAAATGTAAAGATAGGAAAAACTCCTGTCAGGGCTCATTGACTCCTGATGAAATCAACGCATCATTCAAAGTCATGTTGCGATTAGCACAACAAGATCCATATCCACAAGAATGGCTAAATCTAAAAACAGATAAATGTATTCAAGCAAACAGTCGCCTCCTAAACCTAAATCCCTTTATTGACGAAGATGGTTTGATCAGAGTAGGTGGCAGAATTCAGAATTTACATTTCAACTTCAGCAGGAAACACCCATTAATTCTCTCATGTAAACATCAATCAACAAAACTGATCTTCATGAATGAACATATTCGATTGATGCATGCGGGTCCGCAGCTTTTGTCGTCATCTCATCGTGAACTTTTCTGGCCTGTAGCTGGAAGAAATCTAGCCAAACATACTGTACATAATTGTATAAGATGCTATCGCATGAAGCCCAAGCCTGTTATTCCTCTGATGGGCTCTTTACCTTCCGCTCGCGTCATTCCAAGAACACCATTTTCCACAACCGGAGTTGATTATGCCGGACCTGTTCTCTCACGTGACAGAAAGGGTCGTGGGAGCAGAAATACAAAATGCTATATCAGTTTATTTATCTGTTTCACAACTATAAAGCCATCCATCTGGAACTTGTCTCAGATCTCACAACTGATTCATTCATAGCTTCTTTCAGGCGTTTTGTTGCTCGTCGCGGCAAACCCAATCATGTATTTTCAGACAATGGTTCAAATTTCGTAGGCGCAAATTCAGAGTTACAGGAAATGAAGCGATTTTTACAAACCGCTGAAGACACGCTTGTCAATTCTTTCGCAAGCGAAGGAGTATCCTGGCATTTCATACCTCCCCATTCTCCTCATTTTGGAGGACTATGGGAAGCGGGAGTCAAGTCCGCTAAGTATCATCTAGAGCGAGTACTCGCTAATTCATCTTTGACCTTCGAGGAATATTATACGGTATTGACTCGATATTGAGGCCATTATTAATTCACGTCCTCTAATTATTCCTCTCTCATCTGATCCCGACGATCTCGAAATCATTACTCCCTCTCACTTTCTCCTCGGAAAGAATGCTACATTTACAATTTTGAATTCGTTGTCGGGATTCATGAATAGAAAATAGACGACGAGTTTCGTGATTATGGTCTGATCCTATTGAAAATAATAAAATAAAAAATATGGTTGAAAACAAGCTTTTTTTCTGTGACGGGAAAAAAGTTTGGCATTTCATCTCTGTTGGCAGGTTATAAAATGTCACTTTTCATAAATTACTTTTTTCCCGTGGGAAAAAAGTGAGTACTTCTTTCCCGGATATATATCACATATATATACTCTGTTAATGGCTTTTGTTGTGCTATAGTTCCGAAAAATGAGTCAATAATACCGTCTCCGAGAAAGAACTGCAAGTCCTTTTATCTTCCATTCGACTTCGCGGTTTCGTATATTACTAAACAACTACTGAATTCGCAATTTTTTGAAATCAAAACACAGAATTGAACTGACAGAAGTGACATCAGATATTTGATAACTTCAAAAGAATGATAAAGATGCCTATAAAACGCAGGTGTCCCTACTGTTGAAAACTTGAAATTTTATGTCCATAATTTTCAGATTTCGAAATAATGTGATATCTTCTCAATATTGATTCGTCCTTCCTTCTGTCACAGAAAAAAATAGTGTATTATACACGGGAAAAATATTAGATTTTAGCTCACGGTTTTTTGTCTCCCTCCGCTACGCGTCGGGAGACAACACAACCTGGAGCTAAAATCTACTACTTTTTTCCCTTGTATAATAAATAACTATTATTATTTTAACTATTGAAATAAAAAATTGAAGATGAAATAAGGTGAATGCTCTAAAAATGAGAAAAAAATGCTTCTAGATATCTTCTTCCACTTCCTGGAGCATTTGAATGGAAGCATTATTATCACTGATTTTTTCCACCTCATTTTTTTACATTTTCATACAACATAACTCCAACGAAATGAAACGTAGAATTTAACACAGACTTAGAGAGCATAGCAGGAATGTAAGAGAGGGATGATGAAGTTTTCGATTAGTAAGATTCTGGAGAAAGGCAAGCTTTATCACGATGAAATAGTGAGAGATCCACAACATTTCTTCAGCGTAATAAGAAATTTCTAATGACTTGATGGTTAATCATCATTTCACTTCTCAAAGAGTCCTCCATTTACTTCTATGCACTGACACAGTCTTTTTCCAAGGGAAAATAATATCCGGTTAAGCCTTCCCTCTTGAATTATTTCAGTGAAAGCGTTTTCAATTCTCTGCTACGTTCCATTTCGTTGGAGTTATGTTGTATGAAAATGTAATAAAATAAGGTAGAAAAAATCAGTGACAATCATGTTTCTATCTAAATGCTTCAGGAATTGGAAGAAGATTTCTTCAGATATGTAAGCTATCGAATACCTTACTCACAGAATAACTTACGTGAGATCCAAAAGCATTCTTCTCTCATTTTCAGAGCATTTGAATAAAGGCTAATAGTTAGAGTAATGAATGCTTGTTTTCAACAATATTTTTTAGTTTATTTTCAATAGGATCAGTCCATAATAACAAAACTCGTCGGCTATTTTGATTTCATGAATTCCGACAACGAATTCTGAATTTCCAACCCCAAAAACCCTCACATACCAATTTTGAATCGAATCGAACCATAATCACAAATCTGGTCAGCCACATTGGAGCCGCCATAACGCATTGTCAACTGTCATCTGCCAGATTCTAAGTTGATCCGACGATTAGAAGTAGGTAAGAATTCAGTTGCGAGATTTGACCTAGATAATTGAACTGAAGTACATACCAAAAACGCAAAATAAATGAAATCTAGAAAAAATAAATTTTATTCGCTAATAGTTCATTTTATCGAGATGCAACATAAACACCTTTTCTATGTGAATAGCCCTGAGATTCCATAATTTCATGTCAAAAAACTGAAATTGCGATGAACTAAAACGATGGAGTTATTTTTACCCCCTACCTCCCTATTTTGACACACTCCTGTATTCAATTTTGAGGTGATTTCAACTCCATTCGAACCGGCACAAAATATTATGTGGATGGACAAAATTTCAGATTTTCATTATACAAAATCATTCTCTGAGGCCCCCCTTTGAGGGGCTGTATGTTTCTCGGGGGTCATTTCAGAAAAAAATATTACGGATGTTTTCGTAACTATTTCACCCTCTCTATATTCTCCCAAAGTTTGGCCACCCATTTGAGAATCACCTTTTATATCATACAATGGAAAAAAGTAGTAAACTTCAGCTCGAGGTTGTGTTGTCTCAAAAAATCGTGAGATAAAATCTAATATTTTTCCCGTTTATAATACCATATCATTTTCTGTGACAGGGCAGAGGACTAATCAATATTGATAAGATACCACATTATAATAAAATCAGGAAATTATCGACTTGAAATTTTGCAGGAATCTTTTTCATTCCTTTGTAGTAATCAAACATCTGCCAGTCTGATTCTGTGTTTTGATTTCGAAAAGTTTGTAAACTCCGTGCCCAACAGAAGCCCTCAACAGTGTGAATATGTATATATATCCGAGAAAGAATTAGTGACTTTTCCCGTCACCGACACAATATTTATCTCGCTAGTTCACGTATTTATCGTGATAACAGTTCCCCAGATTTGATATTTTTCAAATGTTTTCCCACCCAAGTCAAAAATGTGAACCTGCGAGAAACATTGGATTCAAACCGTATATGGTATGAACTTGACAATTACAAATTCAAGTTCTTACTCACCAACTGCGTCTTTTAGACTATCTTCATTTCCTTTCTCAAGTTCGACATAACTGGCTACCTTGACGATGGTTTCAGAGGCGGTGTATCTACAAGATTGTTGAACGCCTTCGTAAGGATACTTAGAAGCTGGTTCAATACCATTGTCCTTGACATAGTCGAAGGCATAAGTCATTTCACCACCTTTATTGCAGTCACCGTTACCGTATGATGTTGAACAATCCAAAAGTTGCTGAGAACTCAGAAGGGTTGTGACATTATTCTTGATAGCATGTTGACCTTCTAAAGAACCAGTCTAGAAAAACAGATGAATAATCAATAATAAGGATTAAGTGGTTCTGAAGTTTATAATATTTATAGGGGATGCAGATTCTTGTGGCGTCGAAAATTCTTCTGGGTCTGCTGTTAATAGTTTCGAAATACAAATTTGAATCAGTGACAGGCGAGAATCGAAATATGGGAAACGAATAACGTCCAAATCGCAACATTTTTGAGTTTCGAGTGACAGTTTTGGAGTCAATAACTCAAACAGAGAAGATGATTCTCCGGCAGATGATATGCTGGAAGGAGACTTTCTACAGCCGAATATTAAATACCACTGCCAAGTTTGTAGCATTTGTGTCTCAATCGAAATGAAAACTCTTTCGAAGGATACAAGCAGATATCTGGCCCGATGGCATCACGAGTATATAACCAATTCACAAAACAGCTATGAATGGGACTCCTTAGAGTCAATCGTCACGAATCACCAAATCATATCCTAGTAAGGACGGCGTGGCTCGTGTGGCGACAGTTCAAACAACTTTTGGGACCTATAACAGACCTCTGATCAAACTTTGTCTGTTTCTACCTCTCTGGTTTGGTTTCTGTTACAAATATTCGAATATATCCCCGCGATGAATCCAGTCTGATTTGTAATCATACTGAAAGAAAAACAAGCTACAGTCCACTACAAATCAGTCTTGCTTCTGGTTTGAAAATAGTAGAAAAATATAATTGGACTCTCCCTGGTGTACCGATTTCAGGAAAATCTTTAGCAGAATATCCCCAGCAGAAAACCAACTCTCTGCTCATGATGACATCTTGTTTCAAAATCATCCCTAACCACATTGCTTATTATCTCCGAACTGATGATGCACTACTTGGCACTATCAAGAAAAACTGGACCAATTTGAGTCAACACTTCGCTGATCTAAGAGCAGTTTAAGAAGTATAATATCAGCAAATCATAATGTCATCATGGGTACAAGCATCTCTCCCTGTGAAGGAAGGTGGCTCGAGAATCCGAAGGGCGTCTTCACTCACTTCTCGTCTGATCGATTTGTCATCTGATCATCTTCTTGAGTCAGCTGAAAACTTCCCATTTGAAGAGGCTCATCTCAAGGGAGTGAGCTCAAAAGTATCTGGAGCATGGCTTAACGCGTTTCCTGTCGCATTCTTTGAATCATTGTTGGATGATGAAGCTTCCAAGACTTCAGAAGATGTACGTTTATGTTGTGCAATTCGTATAAAACATACATGCAGATGTAGAACTATCAAAAAAAATTAGTTAATGGTTTTCACTGCGGGACATTTTTGTATATTCTTGTAAATAATATACTTTGGATATTTCAGCTGTTTTGGAACCTTCAGCAATCAGTCGTGTTGACTGAAAACGCCCTGATGGAATATTTCTGATTACATGAAATCACGAAAATACTTCAGTTTGGTACTTCACCTGCGTAGATACAGTTGCTGCTCCACATATCGATTCAACATTCAAAATCGCCAAAGGAGTAGATTCAACTGAAAAAATGAAGTTCCAAGAATATTCCACTTTTAGGGACCAATACATTATCCATCCTCTTACCATCAATATTTTCAACAATGTTTAGTTATATGTTACAGTATTTTGATTATTTCGTTTGTTTTGTAGCGTGTTATTCATGGCTATATATAAAGAAATATTGATACTGTAGTCGTGAAGACTGTTTTTTTATTTCTAATTATTATAATAGCCTACCACATTTGAGAATGTTTTTTCTGTGTTTCTAATGTGTATCATGTGAAAATGACAACATGTTTTACATCGCTTTGACAAAAATTTCCAGCTATATCGGTACACAAAACGAATATAGCGCCTAGATAAGAAAAACAAAAGCTTCATGGTGAATTTCTGATAATAATGGAGATAGGATATTTCTGATAACTGCGACTACTTTTCTTTCTCATTAATTAACAACCTCCACTCAATTTCAAATTTTTTCCTCATATATTTGCCAAGAAAATGAATGAAAATAGAATCAAAGATTTTCAGATTCTTCCAAATATTTCAGGAACGGCTGATATTTTTCCAGATTGCAGAACGTGATCTTACGCTACTTTTGTCAAATTTGATCAAGTTTTTATCTCTTGAAGAGGAATATTCTCAGATATATTCATGGACACAAAAAAATAGATATATATAAAGGAATACATTGAGAATCCGCTTAGGAAATAGCAATAATGTCCATAGCAAATTCAGTTCTGAATGGATGCTCAATATTTCATTCAGAATATCAGAATTGGACACTACTACCTGAAGATACCTCGCACACAAGGGCGAATACCTACCTGAATATCAATCACTTTTATTGTTTTTCCTACATACTTACAGCAGAGAAGGCCCAACAAGATCCACAATGTCCTTGATTCTGTACTGGGGTAACAGCTCCTTCCTTCCTCCAGTCAACAGACTCAGGTAATTTATTTTCAGGATCGTATTCATGTTTCAGAGCATCATCCAATGCTGGTCTCTTCTTCATTTGGCGTTTAAGCATGGCTTTGAATTCTTCGGTGGACATATCAGCAAATATGGTGGTGCCAAGATAATAAGTTTCTTCCCCGCTGTCATATCTGGCGTTATGATCTTCAATTTTCCTTAGATTGTTTTGGAAAATAGAATATCGAACGCTCTCTTCAAGGGCACTCTTGTAGGTTTTTCCATGTTTCTCCTAAATAGTTAAAGATTTGAGAATTCAAAAACAATTGATCAATGAAACTATTCAAGAATATAATGAATATTTCTTGCGTATAGTGGTGCCCGCGAGAGTCTCGTTTTCGAGAGTCTCGCATGGTCTCGTTTCGTTTTCGAGACAAGACTCGAGACGAGACTCGGACAAGACGAGACGAGACTTTTAATGGTCTCGTCTCGAGTCTCGTGCAAGACTTCTCGTGTCTCGTACGAGAGTCTCGCAGGTAAATATTTCTGCGTGCCGACTGCAGACTTGGGAATTTTATTCATGATACAACATATTTGAAAAAAATTCAGACTATTTAGCACAGATAGACAATACATTTCATTCATAGATACTTCAAAAACACAATCTGTTGGACCTGGAGCTGATCACTTTGTATATTATGTCGTAGTCATGAGTATTTTTTTATTGATACAATTGAATTGATTTTGAATTTTCTATATTGTCAATCAAGTTTTGAGTAATAAATCTTTAAAAGCTACAAAACACCTAATTACGCTCTTCTCGTATCTACATTCTTTTGCTACACAATCCATGATTGTTGTAAATCTACGTAATGCGTGAAACGAAAACGGACTATTCTCTCTCACGGCGGTGGAATATTTTTTTATTTTTTTATTCTGCAATAACGACAGATCACAAATTGGATGACTACCTGAAAATCTATAAATGAGTCATTCTGTGCTAAATAGTCTAAGATAAAGAATAACTTTGTTTTGACGGGCCGCCGACGCCACGGTTGCATCGCCTATCGCCTAGTATGTACCTATAATAGGTATACCTATACTTCTCAATGAATAATGTTATTTTTACTGTAATTTTTTCTTCCTCCTTCTACATTATACCTAAAAAGTTGATGAAGGTGAATATCCCGTACTAGACTGGAACAAGATTATGCAATACAAAATTGCGATACATTTGCGAGACTCTCGTACGAGACGCGAGACAAGACGAGACTAGAGGCTGCGAGACGAGACTCGAGACAAGACTTCATATTTCATCGTCGAGACGAGACGAGACTTCACGAAAGTCTCGTCTCGTTGGTCTCGTGTGAATCACTACTTGCGTAGTTTGTGATTATCTTCAGAAATAGGTACCTGACATATTCTTCAGCATGTATATTCTTTACCAACTGAACATAAATGAATGATTCCTCGTTAGGAGATGAACATCGATTATCTTCTGAAGACTGGTTGATGAAAAATCGAATTCTGTTGTGATTTATAAATAAATTAATGTTAATACCATGTTTTGAGTGGAAAAATTGATTATTAGAGAATCACGGATTCATGAAAAAGCGTTGTGCATGAGTCCACCGTTGATGGGTCTAAACTAATCGAATGTTTTCACATGCCATGTCGTTGCAGATGAAGACAGTATGTGTAGAGAAAGTGACCAATGCGTTTCATTTCAACTGTGAAGGTATTCAATTTACGATATTTGTTTCAGTAATCACTTGCCCATTCCGTGTCAAACGTTCAACTGGTTTTGTGGGAGCGCGCCTCTACGAGTCGATAAGCGACATGGTGATTCACCGGGATGAGATATCGAGGAATGTGAATCAGTAGTCGTGAACGGACTACGGCCCGATATATGACATGCTATTGAGTATAATACATTGTTACTATTGTTAGTGTTATTATTATATATTAAATAAATCAGTGTTTGCAAGTGTGTGCATTAGTACTGCCTAGTAGGACACCACAATTGGCGACTGAGGTAAAAAAAAAAAATATTTTTTTTTTCTTGTTTTTTCATTCGAATGAGACTTATGGAGGGTTGCAAGCCAGGAATCTTATAGAGGATTCATATTTAGCTGCAACCCATCATATAACATTCAATTATGTCCTATATTTGGATATAACCCATCATGTACATGGGGTCAATTGAGGGGTACTCACATTCAATTGTGACTTATAACACACTCAAGTGTGTTAACGAGGAAGCACATTCAATTGTGGAATATCTCACATTCAATTGTGAACATGGGTGTTACATTAGATTGTAACATATACACAGGTGGTACATTCAATTGTAACCCACATCACATTCAATTGTGAAAACAGGAAAGCACATTTGATTGTGGAATATCTCACATTCAATTGTGAACATGGGTGTTACATTAGATTGTAACATATACACAGGTGGTACATTCAATTGTAACCCACATCACATTCAATTGTGTAAACAGGAAAGCACATTTAATTGTGGAAAATCTCACATTCAATTGTGAACATGAAGCTTACATTAGATTGTAACATATGCACAGAAGGTACATTCAATTGTAACCCACGTCACATGCAATTGCATATTGTCTATAAAATAGAATAGGTATGTCACAATTGAGTGTGGAATATGTCACATTAAATTGTGTTGTAGAAAAATAGCACAGTAGATTGTGGAGTAGTAGCATAACGTAGTCATACCCATATTACAGGGTGGGTTATAATCAAATTCCGGGCAAACAAAAAAAAAAAAGAAACTTGGTGATAATGTTTCATAAGGAATCACGTATATTCCGATAGGTCGAACAATAATGGGCGAGCCATCAGGAATTAAACCGTTCCTATGTGACACAATCGACAAGGCAAGCATCAGGATCGAGTGGCAGAAATGGGTGCGAGCTTTTCAGCTGTATCTGGATTCCGAAAATATACAGGATGTGCTGAAGAAGAGGAATAAGCTCTTACACTTAGGAGGAATGCAATTACAAGAGGTGGCTTACAATATACCTGGAGCGATCGTACCTAATAATGAAAACGAACACATCGATGTTTTCCAGATACTCGTTGACGCTTTAACTAAATATTTTTCGCCAACACAAAATTCAGCATTCGAAAGGCATACTTTTAGGAACATAAAACCTGAAGAGGGAGAAACTCTTAACAGATTCCTTCTCCGCCTAAGACAGCAGGCAACAAAATGTTCATTTGGGAATAATGCTGAAGAAGCCTGTGAAATTAATATAAAAGATAAACTTATCGATAATTGGGCCCCTGTAGAACTCAAGAGGAAACTTTTAGAGAAAGAACGCTCATTATTAGAAATCATCGATTTATGTCAAATCCATGAACAAATAAAGGATCAGTCAAAGGTAATGGGCATGTCCATTGCTGACACACCCAGTACATCTGTCAACAGAATAGCAGTAAGACATCAAAGTACGCATAATAATGATTGTTACCGATGCGGGGGGACTGGTCACCAAGGAAACGACGATAAATGCCCAGCAAAGAAAGTCAAGTGCCACAAATGCAATATACAGGGTCATTTTGCATTTAAATGTAAAACCAAAACAAGACAACAACCTAACCGAGATCATTTTAACTCGGCTAAGAGGAGAAAGATAACTGGATCACGCGTCCGGTATTTGAATCCTGGAGAATCAGATGAGAACGAACATGACCACGAAGGCAATAATAAACATTTCGAATGTTTCAAAATTGATCACTCTGGATCGGCAAACTCTACGAAGCAAGATGAACTCATAGAATGTTATGTCGGAGGAGTACCCATTACATTACTTATCGATTCTGGTTCAGAAGTTAACATCGTTAATGGATCTGACTGGTACAGCCTTACACAGGGACAAGCGACAATGTGGAACATTAATTCACAAACAAAAAATGCTTTAAAGCCATATGCTGTAGGACAAACTCTGGAAGTTCTACAGCAGTTCCAAACAACTGTGAGTACGTCGGATCAGAAAGAAATTATCACTTCGTTCCTTGTAGTAGAGGAAGGAGACGTATCAATCTTAGGTAAGGATACAGCCAAGCGACTAGGAGTCCTGAAACTAGGATTAGGGGTGAACAGTGTAATGGAAGTAAGGCCATTCCCGAAAATTAAGAACATAAAAATCAAACTATCCATAGACAAGTCTATTAAGCCAGTCCAACAGCCATTAAGACGCGTACCAATTGCCGTAGAGGCATCACTAGAGGGGAAATTGAACGAAGCCCTACAACGAGACATTATTGAACCAGTGAACGAACATAGCCCTTGGATATCCCCTATTGTGATAACTTATAAGTCGAACGGCGATATTCGAATCTGTGTGGACATGCGTAGAGCAAATGAGGCCATACTGAGAGAAAATTTTCCATTGCCAACTTTTGATTCAATGATGGCAAAAATCGGTAACGCGAAGTATTTTTCTCGTCTAGATCTAGAATGGGCATATCACCAAATAGAATTGGATGAGGAGAGTCGCGGGATTACAACTTTTATAACACACAAGGGGATGTTCCGCTATAAACGTCTGATGTTTGGAGTCACATCAGCTCCTGAGATATTTCAGAGAATTTTTGAAAATTTACTGACTAAATGCACAAATTGTCTGAACTATCTAGATGACATTATCGTGTATGGTAGTACGGAACAAGAACATGATGCCTGTTTGGAAAGAGTATTGAGAGTTTTTCAAGAAAACAACGTTCTTCTGAATAAAAGCAAATGTACCAGGAAAGTTCAACAACTACATTTCCTAGGTCATCGACTGTCGCACGAAGGTATTGATGCGGACCAGGACAAAGTGAAAACAATATTACAGTTCCGCTCACCAAATACCAAAGAAGAGGTGCGTAGTTTCTTGGGACTAGTGACCTATCTAGGTAAATTCATACCAGACCTGGCAACAACAACAGAACCACTTCGACAGCTGACCAAGAAAGACATGAGATTTAGGTGGGGGGAAATACACCAAGCAGCTTTTGAAAAACTGAAGCAGGCATTGACGAAATCACCGACGCTGGGGTATTTCGATCCAAGGAAACGAACACGGGTGATAGCTGATGCCAGTCCTGTGGCACTTGGAGCTGTGCTCATTCAATTTGATGGGGAGATACCAAAAGTCATCTCATTTGCTAGTAAAGGTCTCTCTGAAACAGAACGACGTTACTCTCAAACGGAGAAAGAGAGTTTGGCTTTGGTTTGGGGGGTGGAGAGATTCTATTTCTACCTGACAGGGCTAACATTCGAACTGATCACCGATCACAAACCACTGGAAACCATTTTCAAACCCACATCCAGGCCCCCAGCTCGAATTGAACGATGGGTACTACGACTGCAAGCTTTCAAATTCAAAGTTATTTATCAGTCGGGGAAATCGAACATCGCAGATTCTATCTCAAGATTATGCCAACTGAATGATGCCGGAACATTTGACAAAGATAGCGATAACCACATATTTACTGTGGTGGAATGTAGCACCCCTAGGGCGATGTCCATTTCACAAATTACAAACGAAAGCAAGCGGGATAAGGAATTGACGTACGCCATAGATAAATCCAATGATGATAGTTGGGTAGTAGCAGATAAAAGTGTTTACTATCCGTTTCGATTAGAATTAACCACTCTTGGACCAATCCTACTTCGGAACAATAGAATTGTGATACCTACAGACCTACGACGGCAAGTACTACAGTTAGCACACGAAGGCCATCCAGGCGTGAACGTTATGAAAAGACGCCTAAGAGCAAAGGTGTGGTGGCCGTTAATCGACAGGCAAGTGGAAGAGTTCGTAAAACAATGTAGAGATTGCTTACTGGTTAGCCAACCAGACAAACCTCCATTGATGACGAGGAACAAATTTCCAGACGGACCTTGGCAATACTTAGCACTCGATCTGATGGGACCATTACCTAACCAAGATCAGGTGTTGGTGATAATCGACTATTACTCTCGATACCAAGATATAAAATTTTTGAGAACGACAACTTCGTGTGTGATCATCAAACACCTGAATGAATTATTTTCCCGCCTGGGGATTCCGAAATCAATAAGAGCCGATAATGGGAGACAATTTTCGAGTAAAGAATTTCAGCAGTTTTGCGAATCTAATAACATCAAACTCATCCACACACCTCCTTACTGGCCCCAAGCGAATGGAGAAGTGGAAAACATGAATAAATCCATCTTGAAAAGATTACAAATATGTCACAATAATAAACAAGACTACAGATCGGAAATACAGAAGTTTATCTTGATGTACAACGTTACCCCGCATGGAACTACAGGAAAGTCTCCATCAGAACTTCTATTCAATAGGAGAATACGGGATAAAATTCCATCGATAACGGACATTGTTGGGGAAGATATTGACCAGGAAGCACAAGACAACGACATAATGAATAAACAGAAAGGAAAGGAAAGAGAAGATAGTAAGAGGAAAGCAAGAGGGAGTAACATCGGCGTTGGGGATAAGGTAGTGCTCCAGAATATGGTTATTCCACATAAACTCACAACCAGATTCAATAATACAGAATACGAGGTGATAGAGAGGAATGGAAACGAGGTGACCTTGGTTGGAGATGGTAAGACTGTAAAGCGGCACGTTTCTCATGTGAAACGGACTCCGGCAGCAACAGTGACAACTCCACGACCGGTATCGACTGACACAACCGGAGAACCTAGAGGTAATCCAAGTATCGGTTTGAAATTACTATCATGTATACAATTGATATCAACAACTTATTCACTTTGCAGGGAAATCGACGTTTACAATGTATAACCTATAAATAACATTCCAGGTATCGCATCCGGGGTAGAAGTCGGGGAACCAACAACATCAAGCAGCGAGACAGCGACATCAACGAGCACGCTTCGACAACCACAACCCACAGACATCAACATCTCGGAGCAAGAGGCCTTTGAGAAAATAGAACCTTTGAGACTGAAAAAAAAAGGACGGAATGTGGGAGCGCGCCTCTACGAGTCGATAAGCGACATGGTGATTCACCGGGATGAGATATCGAGGAATGTGAATCAGTAGTCGTGAACGGACTACGGCCCGATATATGACATGCTATTGAGTATAATACATTGTTACTATTGTTAGTGTTATTATTATATATTAAATAAATCAGTGTTTGCAAGTGTGTGCATTAGTACTGCCTAGTAGGACACCACAGGTTTCATAACATATAGGCAGAAAGCTGTGTAGGAATCTTGAATTTTATAACACATACCTTGAAAGCTGCCCATTCTCCTGAATCCGTGAGAGCGTTCACAGTCAAAATAACTGTTGCGAGTACAACGAGGAATTTCATTCTGATTTTTCTGAAATATTATTAATGTTTTCAATAAGTGACGAATTGAATATGCAGGGTGTTTGGTTAACCGACTTATATCTGAAAAAAGGGGAGAACATTCCGAACACATTCGACCAAATGTACTGTCATACAATAAGTGTTTAGTTTATTTTCTTTTTAATCATGTGATTTCTATCTAATGTATATAAATAGTCACATGAGAAAAAAAAACTCACAGAGAACACTCAGTCATTGGAAAGTTTTTGATAAATCAGATCGTCATCTTCATTTTGAAACACAAACAGCAGACTCCAGTAAAGATATCAATTATTCAGACTCAGACTATTCTTTCTGAGGCTCAGTATACCAGTAGGAAGTGATGATTTCATTTTCAATTCTTTCTCTGATCCACTAAACAGGTCCAGAAAATTAGGGAAGATAATTTTCAAGAAGTTATTTCGTTTTGAGATTGAGAACGATAATTAACTCACATGTGAGCGACTCAAAAGTGGTTTCTGGAGATTTTTTGTTCGCTTCATTTTCCCAGGATTCTTTTGTTGGTTAGGTATGTCCTATCCTTATCCTAGCGAAAAACTCGGGTCATCGTGAAAAAAGGAGAGGAAGAAGTAATCATCAACTCTGGTTGTTTATTTACATCATGGACTTGCGGAAGGTGAAAGATAAAAATGGAAATATTCTTTTCTCTTTGGTTCCTGTTTCGAACAGGTTCATCGGAACTACCAATTCTCAGCCCTTATCTAAACCAAAAGGATGCGAGGATAGTATTTTTTCTTCACTTCATGTAGGTGGAAAAATAGTGGACTTTGAAATGAATTTGGTTCATGAGGATCTCTTCTCAGGCAGCGATGATGTAAGAGTCGAGCCATCAAGTTTGGTGGAAATATTTTCGAACACTCGGTGAAAATCGTGTGAAATATCAATTCATTCACAACGTCTCCAACGCTAGGCGTATTCACCGTCACTTTGGATTCGAGAGCTCGATAGGTCTTTGCTGCCTAGGAGTCAAGCCATGTGCCCCAGCCAATATGTTTCATTTGCACTTCTCAGAAAAGTACTAGTTAACGCTACGATGTGCCTAGGGCACTGATGGTTATCTTAAGTGCCGCTGATCTCCTGAGCTGCGTTTCGTTAGCACCCCGGGAAGAATACTAGGCAGAGGGGCTACGGAACCCAGCACACCGGATAAGATTAGACTCTTTCTTCTCTCTACACTGCAGTTCATCTTCTGAGCTGCATGCTGTCGTCACGCCGGGAGGAATACCCAGGAGGAGAGACTTCAGGATCCAGCACGGTGAATTAGTGAAAGTACCTTTCTTCACTCCGAAACTGGATGTCTGTATCCTCTGCTGTAAGCACGCCAGGAGAAATACCTAGGAGGACGGGCTGCAGAACTCGGCCCAGCAGTTCAGCGCAGATCTTCATCAGCGCAGATCTTCATCAGCGAAGATCTTCATCAGCGCAAATCTTCACCAGCGCCGATCTTCAACATCGCAAATCTCCACAATCGCACTCACCTATGCTGGCATTTTCACCAAGCGGACCGAGATATGGGTGATACGGAACTCTGGAGAGGATCCTTCCCCTAGTTTCGACCAGGTTTTAGTTAGGGCCATTTAAAGTCAGAAAACGAAGGTATGTAGGTAAGTGTTTTATAATAAAGATGACAATATGATTCATCAAAGACTATCTAATGACTGAGTGTTCTCTGTGAGTTTATACCTTCTCTCATTTGGCCCTTGTTGAAATATGGATAACTTTTTTCTGCTCTGAACAATTTGAATTCGGATGACACTGGTCGCTAGCCTAGTCCCTATAATCTCGTACTTCTTCGAAAAATAAGGTTCTCTACATAAAATCGGCACTTTCACATTATCTTGGGACATTTTTCGGAGTTTCTTCTCATCTCTTCCATTTACAGAGTGATCTCAAAAAATTAGTTCATTGGTTTTGCAGTCATATTCTTCTCCTCGTCATTCGAAATTCAATATCTCAGGCTCATTTCGAAGCTCAACTCTTGAATGAAGGAATATGAAGATCAGAATTCACTCAAGATGAACATTATACAGTGTGTCAAACTTCTATTGAAAGCAACATTGTATCCTTCGTAATTGTTGAGTTAAGATTCAGCAATTTGCAGCAGCAGGGAATATACTGAAAATACACAATATGACCAAGTAACGTCATCTCCAGTGCACACTGCTCACCAACAGCCGTGGATTCACCAAAACAATTATATTAGGAGGAGGAGAAGGTTGAGAATCACTTTCGATTCGAAATCAGGACGTCCAACGAACTTTTAATGTTTCTCCTGGAAAATTTTCAGTTCTCAAAAATTGAATTTTGTTTCACTTTTCAAATAAGCACCCCCATATCTCACTCAACTGACTTCATTGTTGGACTTTCCCTTCCTCCTGCAAATTTCAGAACCCTACCTCAATAATGACCAGGCTAGCATAGTGTAATCCGAATTCGAATTGTTCAAAGCAGAAAAAAGTTGCTCATATTTTAACAGGTACAGAATTTTGAGGTGCGACAAAACTAGTGTTGCGTAGTTCATATATACTAGGTCGAAATAAACTCATTATAAAGATATAATGAACTGAAAAATTATTGTAGCAATTCCAAACGCTACAATATCATCGTTTTGTCAAAAAGTTTACCTAATTGTATCTCTCTTTCTCGAAATGTTGAATACGTATTTTATCGATATTGAGCACGTTATGAGATCAAATAGCGATAAAAAAATGTTTTGGTTCGTTAGAATTCAAAACTCGATTTTTTGTAACGTCTTACTTTCAACGAATTCATCAGCGATGATATCTCAAGATATGTAACACTTTTTATATTAGTATGGTATCAAATATTATGAATGAAAATGTTCGAAATCACATTACACCTCTTTCCATATATACACGATAGAATTGTTCGTAAATATTTGGAAAGTGTGTAGCGTTCTGTATTTTGTCATGATTGGTTCAGAGATGTAGAAATGCTTGTTTTTTATTGGGTGACATACGAAAGAACTTTTATGAGTCGAACACTGCGAAATTCCAACTGAATATAATGTTCAGTGTGAAATTCCAAACAATATGCCTCGTGGCAAGCCTATAAAACAGCTAGATCACTGAAAAATAACGTGTACAAAGAATACCTAATCCAGATATCGACGAAATATCTGGAATATCAGAAAGATATTCTGACCCGTCATCTAGATGCAGAATTAAAAAATGATTCCAGAAGCTTCGCCACCCTGTTTATCTAGCAAACGAACTCAATTAGTACACATTTCTATTGGGCAATATTGATGTAGTATCAGAAGAATATTTGCCATATATTGAGGAGGTGATATTGGCAATGATAATTGCGATTTTAATTATAGAATTAATTCCTCATCTATATTGGTATTATTTCGGAAACAATATCAGAAAAATACTTGGTGACCAAGATTGGAGAAATATTCACGAAACAATATGTCGCAACGTCGTCATGATGAGATTGGTGAATCATTTCAGAAGAAATATAAGCAAATTTCAAAATCAATGGAAATGAAAGCATTCCGCAACGTCGTCATGATGAGATTGGTGAATCATTTCAGAAGAAATATAAGCAAATTTCAAAATCAATGGAAATGAAAGCATTCATCGACATGGTAACATATTATATCCTGCATATGTTTTTTCATATTTATCTTAGATACAATATGATTCCAATATTATTGAAAACTATGTACTCCAACATAGGTGAATATTATTTTCGAATACTATTTACACATTATTCAACCAATGTGCTATTGAGTTCAATATTAAATATTGGATCTCGCCACCACAATCGACTAAATATTGAAACATCATTCAACCAATGTCCTGTCGAACTTGAATATTGATTTAAGTTTTCCCTACAGAATCAGAATGGGTGTAATATTCGAAATAAAAAAAAGATAATAAATGTCTAGAAAAATATGTGTCTGTGAAACAATATCGAACATTATTTATGAATATATCGTTCCACAAATTATTTTCGAATTATTCAACCAACCGCTAATTGTAGCTTCAATTCTGAATCTGGGATGAATTTATCCTATATCCCACTAATATTATCATAAAAATTTCCTGAACCTTTAGCCTGATCTATACTATCGAATAACGATAACCAAAGAGCTTATTACAATATTTTTCTCAAATGTTGATCGGAAAAACGTTCTTTACATTGATCGAATCGTATTTATATTATACCTATAAGTATCATCATCGCTATTGTTGGTTGGAAGGATTATTCAGTTTCCTGCATTAAGTAGTAAACAAGGGCGGTTCTATAGTGTAATTTCTACAATGCAATACAGGAATCGTTCAAAAAGTTGTGGCTGAAATTACTAAATTACGAAAAGAGTCATATGCTACAGTAGAGCAAGTTTTGTGATTCAATATACGATTATGAATATTTCATTTTGTTATATGTATGTGAGGAGGAGGCTTCCATGCAGTACTCATCAATTCGTGTGAATATCAACATTAATAGCAATTTTGTCACTGAAAACTAATGGGAAAATGCTAATTCTCAAACAACGTATCCTATTTATCTTGAGTATGAATCTTTAAACATGTTATTGAATATAAAGTCTTACCTTTTCGAACAACAGAATGAAATGATAGTTTTATCGATCAAAATTGTGTCATTTATAAGAGATTCGATAATCTGATAATCGCATCAAACTACTTCAGATTTTCGAAACTGTGTGATCGTCCCATTGTGATTGAACTATTTAGATGCAAAGTACATATTTTCATATCAGATAAGATGAAGAAAACTAGAGCTAATCTATCTAAAAAAATCGTGTGCCAGTCGCAGAATGCAAAATATCTAATGACATAACATATAGATATTCTGATTCCGATTTTGATACTGAGGCGAATCACCTGTGGATGTCCATAAAATGTTCATTTGTCAAGAAAGAAATATGGCTTGGAAATGGAACAAGACAATACGAATAATCACAAATATCACATGCAAATCACATGTCACATGTTCATTAGAAATTCAAAAAGTTCTCTATCATATATAATTCTTGTTATGTATGATGATTAAATTTATAGAATTTCAATTATAAAATATCAGTTTGAAACTTTCACGATAATAGGTACACTGTGCTGAAACATAAATACTCTCAGAAATAATATTTTCTTATCCAGTTTCATTTTTATGAGAAAATCTCGATTCACGTGGTTTATCGAATATGCAATTAGTTTTTTATATGCACCGCGCAAACAAGCGACCAATCACCATCAAATACTGGAAAAAGAAAGAAGACAGATAGAATAGCAACTGAAGAGGAATACAGCGACCACTCAGGGCCTACTCTATAGAGTAGGCCCTGGACGTTACGGACCACTACGAACTTGTGAGCCTGTTTACACAGGCTAGTGAATTTCCCTCTTTCGGAAGTAAATATCAATGAAGAAGTCAATATTATAAAACAGATTGCTGTCAACAACGGATACATCGTTAATTTGATAGACAGTATTCTTTCTAAAAAACTTCATAAAGCTATTCAAGAAGTTTATCCTACCATCAAGAATAATAATCAAAATTATAGAACTTTAACCTATTTCGGATCATCAACTGAGAAATTAGCTTCATTTCTACATAAACAGGACTTAAAAGTGGCATATAGGACAAATAACACGTTGGGACGGTTTATCAAGAATAATAAAGACAAAACTTCTAAATTCGAAAAATCAGGGGAATACAAACTCAAATGTGGATCTTGTCCTAAGGTATATATCAGTCAGACAGGTCGTACGTTTAATCAGCGCATTCATGAACATAAGTTGAATTTTATGAAAAAGAAAACAAATTCAACATACGCCAACCATATATTAGAAGAAACCCATAGTTTTGATGATAATTTCGAAATTCTGCACGTAGAAAATAAAGGACTGAAACTCAATCATTTTAGTCCAGTCACCCTGTACTTCACAGTGGGGTTACCTGGAAAAAGGTCCGAAGTTAACGATCTTTTCATATGTGGCAAGTCTGTGGTGTAGAATCCAAGTTTTCCAATTCGAGGACCCTGTGCTAACTTCAGGGCATCCGAAAAACTAGTAAATTTTCGGAATTTTTTCAATATTTTGCTTATAACTCCTAAACAACGCGTTCAAGCGGAAAACACGAAGTTACAGAACTCACAGAGGATTAAATTTCCTACAATGACCATCTATCACTTATTTTTTTCACCAAATACGTACCGAGATATAGCGCTGTTAAAACTTCTGGTTCTTCACTAGTATATTTCATCTTCCATCATTTTCAAATGGGTATTAATAAATAAGTGTTACAACGGAAAACTGTAGATTCCTCATAAAAAAAGAGGAATGTTTTTTCTTTACGAAATTTTTCTCCGGACTTTGTACACACTTCATTATTAATAATATCTACTTCTAAGACTCTTGATCATTTTCCTTGGACATGTCAGTGGCGGAGAGTTCAACGCCTCGTAAGGGTTTAACCCCCCTAACTTTCATTCCACTTGACGAATTGTAATTTTCAAAGCACATACTGAAGCGCCAACGTCTCTCACACAAAAAAGGTCCTCTTGCTTCAATGCTCTGAGGTGAACAGTTTTCGAGAAAAAAGGCGATTTATGAATGAAAACATTCAAAATCCTACAATAATTTTTTTTCGAAAAATATTCAACTTATAATTGAAAAAAAAATAGTAGGGAACTCTCCGCCACTGACATGTTCAAGGGAATTGATCAAGAGCCTTAGAAGTAGTCATTATTAATAATGAAGTGTGTACAAAGGCTCAGCTCCGTTGCTCGATGTGTTCCTGAGATAAGAGGAAAAAACTGTTTTTTTATTCGCTGATGTCATGATAGTGAAAACTGCGATATCTAAAGCTTCTGACTTCGATAGTGTTACTATTATAGGTGGAGACGTAGATCTGTTAGTATTGCTGACTGCGTTGGGCTCATCTCTAAAGAACGTGTATTTCCAAAAGAGTGGGAGAGGTAATGCTCCTAGTACTTTGTATTCGTCATCATTTTGCAAATACAATACTCAGGATATTCTTTTCCTCCATGCAGTTAGCGGGTGTGACACTACATCGAACCCTTTTGGAGTGGGAAAGAAGAAAGTCCTCTCTATTTATGAGAAAAACCATTTTCTGTCTGACATTGTTAGTGTTTTCAAAGATGAAGATGCAACACCACGCCAAATTTTGGTAGCAGGAGAAAAATTTCTTGTGGCACTACGGTGGAAACATAGACACAGATACTGTGGACGATCTTCGCTACCGAATATTCTCGAACTCTGTGGCAAAATCCAGATTTCACCTTGCCCGATTGCCCCCTACACGACACGCTGCCCGGTACCATTCTTTTAGAACTTATTTACAAGTGCAGACGTGGCTGGGCAACGAAAAGTCACCGTCTGTTTGGTGCTGGACTCTCACAAAAAGAGGGTTGATACCCATAACAACGACCACAGATGCAGCTCCAGAAATGTTGCTGCACATGATACAATGTAAGTGCATGACAGGTTGTAGCACCGGAGCTTGCAGCTGCAAAAAAGCAGGACTCCGGTGTTCAGCCATCTGCAAGAATTGTGCAGGAAATGCTTGTGAGAATTCGCCTGAAACCGAACTAAACGAGGAAGATACCGACATTGAGTGCGACGAGGAGGTCGTCATGGATGAGACCATTGCTCAGGACGAAGATGCCGACCTGCCATTGGGAACAACAAAGTGAAGGCTTTTTATTTGTAATCATTTTACTCAGTTAATAAATCAAAATCTCATCGGGAAAGAGGTTTCCATTGTTGAGGTTATTGAAAGTTATTCATATACGGATATTGAAACGTGAAAGATAAAAGTTACTCGAGAAAAACGTGCATTATTCGCAGTTTTTCGATATTTGGAAGAAATGTCGATAATTCAAAGCGCCATATCTCGGTACCTATCAAATTTTGAGCAACGGTTTAAAGATGTAAATTGTTGAAAATTTTATGCTCTACAACTTTTGTGATAGAGTATTTTTGACTAAAGTGCTCATTTTAGTAGTAATAAGCAGAATACTGAAAAAAGAGGCAAACATTTTTGGTCTTTCGATTGCCCTGAGGTTTGCACAAGGTTCTCGAATTGGAAAACATGGTTTTTACACCACGAAATACCCACTTACAACATATCAAAAGATCATCAACTTCGGACCTTTGTCCAGGTAAAATGTACCTGGTGACTGGACTATTTTGAATCATTAGAAATCAACAAACTCAAAAATTTTGACATTTCACTTAATGATCAATTAGACCTTGATAGTTCACCACTGTTGAATTTGTTTTCTTAGTGAGTAATAATATGTATTTAATATCAACTCTTTCAAGTTAATCCGGTATACCGTAATTTAATGTAGATATTGTGCCTAATTTCCGAAAATGGAGGTTTATCGTACCTGTCCACAGGTAATTAACTAATCCTTCAGGTTGGGAAGGTAAGATATATAAAAGTTAAGCAAGCCAACGTTAGTTTAGTTCATTGTACCAGTATATCACCTGACGAAGCTACTGTGTTAGCGAAACATGTCGTATGTTTAATAAATTTTGTGAAAATCTTATCGTTTGTGAAGTTTTTACATTCATCATGGATTTCCATCGAGTAACGGCTGAGTCAATTTGAAAAAAAAAATGCCATATATTTTGTCGCAGATTTGAGTGCTTCTTGTGGTTACCAACATACTCCTGAAATTCGATTGAAATCAGCTGGGTGATATTTACGTAAAAAAAATATCACAAAATAATTCAATATTGCACCACTGCTCAAAAACATTAATAACAAAAAAGAGATTGCCTGCTCAATATAATCATAAGAGATACATAACAAATAAGTCCTAAGAGGATCGTTAACCGAATTTGATTGACACTAATCATCACAGGGTGTGCAAATTTTAGTAGCAAAATTTTCAAATTCGAAAGCACTATATTTTTTTTTCATATTGAAGCCGCTGTATATTCTCATGTCATTCAATGCGTGAATAAAAAACTCTTCTTTTTTTCACAACCCTATATCGGAATCTCATCGTATCAGAAGTTATTTGCCAAAAACTCGTTTCATCAACTATTTTTTTAGAAGTGCATTATTGACATCTATTTGGGCTTGAGAAGTTCAAAATCAATAAATTAATAGCTCATTTTTATAAATTTTCCGAACTGTTTATAACGAAATATTGTTTTTTGTCATGGAGTACAACCACGAAGACCTCGTAGATATTGTAATGAACGCGAAGACTCGACCAAAAATAGCATAACAAATACTAATGCTAGACACTTCACACTTATAGGAAGTAGAAGGTCGTTTTAATTAGGTCAATAAATATTTAGGTATCTGAACTCGAATGCATCCAATAAGTATTAGAAGGATAGATTGATAGAGCAATATTATTACGTGAATTAACTCTTGTTGGAAATATGAATATTTGTTTCAAATCCCAAGAAATGCATATATGTAATAGGTTTATTATTAGGTACTTTACCTTTGTAACATTGTTGATAGTGGCACACAGGAACAGCAAAAAAAAGATGTGAATAAAAGTTAGAAAAGAGTGTACAGGGAATGTATAAGCTAAGTAACTGAGCCACAGCAGAGGGGCGGGCCAAAGATAGGTAGAGGTCAGATGAATTATTACAAAAATCAATTAGTTTAAAATCTTTTCAGATGAACATTGAAATCCTTTTTCTGTACTTAATTTTAAGTAATACCCAAGGTCAACTGACATCGATTTTTGCAAAATGATTTATGATAAAAATCCATTAGATTAAAAACTATTTCTGAAAACATCCGAAGCCACTCTTTTTGCACTTTAATTCGAGGTCAATTCAACTAAGCGAAAATCTAATGAATTCTGATTAAATTTATGACCAAATCTCAGTATAAAAGCAGGGAATTTTGGCATAAAAGTAAGTCTTGATCGAACTCTTGATACGAAGTCTCATGTCTTGAACCAGTAACTCTGCTAAACAGTCTAGTTATACGTGATATGTAGTTGATATTAGAAATTGCTTAAAAGTCTGTACATAGTGAACATATTGTGTTGCTGCAATAGATGTGTATCGAGAATTATTGAACTTTTATAAAACTGTATTAACTTTTCAAAGTGACCCAGTATAATAGTGCGAGTGTACATCATCCTGTCATCATGTATAACCAACCAATATTATGTAAGCACATCTGTTTTACTTCCATGTCAACTCTGCCTGTCCATATTATGATGATTGCTGAATAGAGATTTATGTATTTTGAACTGCCGTATTAATGTCTATATACACCAATCTTACTCCTGCCTAAGTATTCACGAACCCAGTGAATCAGTAACTTTGTGAAGACCCCTGTATAGGCCAACCCAAGAAAAGGGGTGCTTTACAATTGGTGTCAGTTGTGTGGGGTTCGAATATTTAGAAGCTGTTAAACCCCCTCAGCGGCAGGAAAGAGAAGTGTAGACATTCTACCATCAACGGCAGAACGGCAGAAGAAAGACTTGTAGGCATAAGACTGAAAAATGTCACAAACCGGAGACGACGACGAACAGAAAAACATCATTGTCTCCATGCCCATGAACTTGGATGCAATACCAGAGTACAATGGATCAACAAGTATTCACGATTTTCTCCATATCATTGAGGAAACAGCTATATTAGCAGGATGGACCGAGAGGCAGCAGACAGCCATTACTCGATTGAAATTACGAGGGGTAGCCAAACAGTTGATCGATTCAGAGCCTGATCTACGAACTACAGCCACCTGGGACATCCTTGAAGAGGCCCTACGCAAGCAGTTTGGAATAGTGCAACTCCCTGGGCAAGCCCTGAAGGCATTCATCGAATGTAGACAACGCAACGGTGAGTCGTGCAGACAATTTTTGGCTCGATTAAAGATTGCTGCAGATAAGACTGTGACCTACACTGCTCGTCCAGATGACAATCGGTTGATTAAACAGAAATTAGCAGCAGACACCACCACGCAGTTTGTATTAGGCTTGCTGAACCCGATCAGGAAGAGAGTACTATCAGCAGAGCCCCTAACCTTAGAAGACGCAGTCAGAGTAGCGGAAAAGGAAGAGACGATAGAAAATCTCACCAAAATACAGGAACGAGAATGCAGGGTGGTGGACTCACGCGAAATAAATCAACAGAATGCAACGTCAAGAAACAATCTCAACTGCTACAGATGTCAGAAAACGGGACATTTTGCTAGAGATTGCAAGGAACGAATCAACAGCAATAACCGAAACCGGGTGTGTTATGGATGTCAAAGACCTGGACACATAGTGAGGTATTGTCCAGACAGAAGCCAACAACGAGGTCAAGGTCATCCAACTGGGACCTGGCGAACTGCAGGTAGAGGAGGACGTTCCACCGGTAATTTAAACACGACCGCAGCTGCATTTCAACCCCGCCATGTAGCTGCCAGCGAGGTGCCTCGACAATAGAGTCAAGGACGGCAGAGATACTAATAAGTTGCACGCAAGGAAAGGAGGAACCCAGGAACATAGCAAAAATTAAAGTAGAAGATCAGTACTTGACAGCTTTAATTGATTCAGGTGCACAAGTATCTCTAGTTAAGCCGAGTATCGTGCAGGGGTTCAATATTCAAGTTAACAACGATATTAGTCTAGTTGATATTCAGGGAAGGAAAATCCATGATAATGGAAGGGTTATTTTACCAATACAGTTGAGTTCAAGAAAGACCATTGAACATGAGTTCATCCTGATAGAGACAGGGAATTTCAGAGCAGATATGCTGCTGGGATTAGACTTTTTACAAAGATTCGGAGCAAAAATCGATTGGGGAACAGGGAAAATGTTCATTCTAGATGAAGTTATTGAGTTATTAGAAGAAAATAACGATTGGGAAAAAGAGATAAAAGTGAGGTTAGCTGAAATGGAAAATAATATAATTGAAATCAAGAATACCTTGAAAGCCTTTACTTCAACCGTACTCAAGGAGGATATGAATTCGATGCCACTGGAATTGGCAGCGAATTCCGGTGAACAGGGGAATTCCAGTCCTCTGGTTCACCAAACAGCAATATCCATCCCAGATACTCCAAGGTATGAAGAGAAGTCAAAGGAAAGGAAGACTGCAGCTTCCAAAGGGTCCTTGAAGGATAGCAGAACACAGTATCGTAGTGGAGAGCCAATCGATAGTCGAGAAAATAGCCTCAGGACTGCACCTGTTTCGCAGATACAAGAGGATAGGGCACAAAGATGCACCTCTAAGTCTGGAAACACCGACAGTGGAAGTCAAAGAAGCAGCGAGTACCCAACAGAAGAAGTCTCTAAATTAAAACGGATGAATAAATCAGGAAATGACTGTACAAAAGTTGAACATCCAAGTAAGATAACTGATACCAGTCTCCCACAGTCAGTAGTGCCTTGGACACAAAATGAGAAGGCACATGGATGCATATCCAAGCCTATGAATTACCACAGTAATGGAGTGGGAGTATATTTCAAAGAAGATGTTCACTCACCACCAAGGACAATGACCATACAACCAGCACTACTCAAGAAGCCGAAACGACTTACCACCGATTCTATCGTAATTGAATCTATGGACTCGATCAACGGAATATTGGTAGCCCGATCCATTTGTCACAAGAACCAAGAAATACCTGTAAAACTGATTAACGTTCTCAATTGTGCTGTAGTGATTCAGCGAAAACAAATAATAGCCAGAGCATTTGAAACAGAATG